CTTCCTTTGCCTCTTAGCAGCCATTTGCAGTACAAAGAAAGCTAACTTTAGACAGAAGCATTTCTATAAACTGACTGAGGCTACAGGCTTTCCCTGCCCTGGGCCTATCTCCATGCCAGAGTTATACCCTATGGTGAGATAGGTGCTGTGGTGAAGGCAGGAGAGAGAACTCTTTTTATTCCCAGGTTCATTTGCTGCACAAATTGCTACAAATATACTGTCAGATCCCAGAACCATTCAGTACTTATATATTATATTATAATAAATATTATATTTATTAGTCTTCTTTATAAAGTGTTTCAGTGTGTAACTCACTATGATTGTGTGTTAGCTTGTTGTGTCTTTGTCTTATACAAAATCCTTTGGATATTATCTCAACCCCCCCAATAGCTGTTGTGGTTCTTTGAGAATTACAAATAATTTGTGATTTATTTAAATTGTTATGAGTTGTTTACCTTATAAAATTCAGTCTGTGTTTTATGTCTGAGTGTCCTAAGCATAACCCAAATGCAACACTTAAAATAAATAAATAAAAATAAATCACACTCCATCCAGTAATAAAAATTATGCTCATTCCTCCAGTTTGGATGGAAAACCATGAAGGTATGCTCCTGGAAAGTGGGGGATGGGGGATCTTCCATTGAAACTAATGGGACATAAAACTGAAATAGAATTATGGTTCCAGCAAGCCAAGTCTTTTTGTTTTGTTACGATATTTGGTTTGGGTTGGGGGCATATTGGGGGCATTTCTATGTCTACCATACTAAACTGTAGTTTTTTATTTGTAAGTTGTTGCTCCTACCAACCAATAGAAATTCTGACTCGTATGAAGATGACACCCCACAGCGCTACTTCAAATGGGAGGTTATATCATCCACAGTCCTCCCTAAAATATACAAATCCACAGCTATTTTGTGAGCATGAATTTTGTTTTACATCAATGGAGTCTAGGGTTGCCAAGTCCTACCTCAAGAATAGCAGGGGGAGTCCTGGACGTCTCCTGGTGCACGCACCGCGATCGTGTCACCCGGAAGTCGGGGCGGGGCCACAATCATTTGAGGGAAAACCATAGAGTTTTCCCTCAGATGATGGAGCATCCCCCCGCAACATGCCCAATGCCGGGCACGTCACGCGCTTTGGGGGTGGGGTCCCCCCGGCGGCCCAATCTCCACCAACAGGGAACAGGCCTCTCAGGTGGGGGTTTCCCCACCCCCCGGGGGGACTTGGCAACCCTAATGGAGTCAGATGTGGTTGCTGACTAGGGTTGTCATCTCTGGCCTGGGGAATTCCTGATGATTTGGGGGGAGGAGCCTGGGGAGAGCAGAGTTTGGGGAGGGGAAGGAGCTCAGTGAGGATGTGATGTCATAGTCTGCCATCCAAAGGTGCCATTTCCTCCAGGGGAATTGATCTCTGCAGTCTGGAGATCCATTGTCATTCCTAGAGAAGTCCAGGCCTCATGTGCAATTTGGCAACCCCATACGCTGACCAAACTACTTCCTTTGCCTCTTAGCAGCCATTTGCAGTACAAAGAAAGCTAACTTTAGACAGAAGCATTTCTATAAACTGACTGAGGCTACAGGCTTTCCCTGCCCTGGGCCTATCTCCATGCCAGAGTTATACCCTATGGTGAGATAGGTGCTGTGGTGAAGGCAGGAGAGAGAACTCTTTTTATTCCCAGGTTCATTTGCTGCACAAATTGCTACAAATATACTGTCAGATCCCAGAACCATTCAGTACCGAGTTTCTGAGTTTGCCTGACAAGGAATGGCAGAATTAACAACTTCTCATTATTACCAGGTTGTAACTTGTAACAGTGCAATAAATATTGTGTTTCTTGCTGATGATCAAACTTGAATGCCAAGCAGCTTTGGCTGGAGTTCTGGATTCAGTGTTGCATTTATCTTAGTCCACATTGAACACTTTGTGGAAGAACATACGAGAGGATATTTTGGAGAGACAGTGAGTGCATGCCTCTCTTGCATGGGCCCACTTGCCTATTTAAAAACAACCTTAAGGGTTTGCATCAGGTTCTTCAAGTAGGGTTGCCAAGTTGAACTTATGAAATAGCGGGGGGAGTCCTGTTCCTTCCCGGGAGTCTTCTGGCGCGCATGCTTCACGCACACACCTCAATGACACCACCCGGAAGTGACGTCATCACGTCAGGCATGTTGGGGCAAGGCCACAATCATTCGAGGGAAAACCATAGAGTTTCCCCTCGAACGATAGAGCATCCCCCGGTAATGTGCCCGACATGATGATGTCAACTCCGGGTGGCGTCTTCACGCACGCACATCGCACACTTTGGGGGTGGGGTTCCCCCAGCAGCCGAATCTGGGCCGGTGGGGAATGGGCCTCTGGAGCAGGGTTTCCCCCCACTCCCTGGGGGGACCTGGCAACCCTATCTACAAGTAGGGTTGCCATCTTCAAGTAGCTAAATTCTTGGAGGTTGGGGGGTGGAGCCTGGGCAGGGCAGAGGGGAGTGAGCTCAGCAGGGATGTTACATCATATACTCCACCTTCTGAAGATGCCATTTCCTCCAAGTGACCTCATCTCGGTAGCCTGGAAATTAGTTATAATTTCAGGAGAATTGCAGGCTCCACTGGGATGTTGAGTCAGAATCACAGCCTATAATAAGATACACTCTTGCAAGAAGGTTTTATTTTATTAAAGCCATGAAACGGGTAGAACACAATCTCTGTCAGTAATGACACAATGGGCTTGATACAGGTATAATAAAGGAATTTCAAAATAGCTTGGGCCAATAAATATGATTCCCGCTGGCGCCAAAGGATCCCCCTCACGCCCAAACCTTGGGAACACAACGGTTTGAACTAATTAAACAAGCGTTCTATTCTCACGCTACATTGCATGATAGACTAAGCAAAAAGCCTCCAAGTACAAACCACCTGCTGCATTACTGATAAGTTGCCTTCAAAGCTCTTCCAGCGTATACAGAAAGGAATGCAGTTACAATTAAACGCAGGGGGGTAAGTGTGAGCATGCGCATATGAATTACTGGACATGAAGGCGAGGGGGGGGGTTGGATACAACTCATAAGCAAAGAAAATACACTTGGCAGCTTGCTGACATGTTGTCAACCCTATTATTAGCAGACTCTTGCTTGTGCCTGCCTGGCTCAGCCTGGCTCCCTCCGGCAGTCAAGGGGGCTATTTAAAACATAACAGTGTACAGCAAAAAGTTGTTATCTTTTAAAGTGATTAGAAATATGATATTAGCAACTGATGAAATATATATAAGTAAGAGGAAGGGGGTGAAAGCATTGCGGGAAGCCACAGGAGGGGAAGGTGTATGGGTTATAGGGTAAGTAAATGTTTATGTATGCTTTTTTAAAAGTTTTAATGGATAAATGTTGAATACCTATGACTGGAAAATAATAAAACTTTGTTTACCAAAAAAAAAAAACATAACAGTGTACAAGGGTCTTTGCGCAAGTAAGAGGAAAGCTCTGTGCCGTGCAGCTTTCTTGTCTTTCAAAGTGATTGGTTTTTACAGTGTACTGATGCATTTTTGTATGCTTTATAGTTATTGTGATGTAAATTTGGAAAGGCAAGGTAGACACTGGCTGATTTCACACTAGAGCTGCCTCGATGTTGCGCTGCCGTTTGCCCCAATACTATTGGTCAATTTCACACCCGAAGCTGCGGGGCTGCATTTTGACCTGCGGCTTCACCCAATTTCCCCCGCAGTTTCGTGATCCTGTTTTTTGAGGATCACGGAACTGCAGAGGAAATCGGGCGAAGCCGCAGGTCAAATGCAGCTTCGCAGGTTCGGGTGTGAAATTGACCAATAGTATCAGGGCAAACGGCGCACAACATCAAGGCAGCTCTAGTGCAAAATCAGCCCTAGTTAAATAAATTAACCTAGAGAGATAGGAGTTCAACTCAATGGAGTTGTTCTCCAGTCACACAGATCTTAGGAAGACTCAGCAAATGGATTTTGCTCTGACTCGAGGCCTGACTGTCTACTTGGAGTCTGGAAAGAATTTCTGTGTCCCAACTGGTGAGGGAGATGGGATAGAAACAGGGGTCATTTCCTGCAGGAGCGCACAGGAGTGGAGCTCTGGTAGTAAAGAGCCCAGGGGGTGGGCACATGCAACAAGCCCCACCTCCTGCTCCCAGTAGCCCTCAGTCAGAGCAAGACGCAGCCAGGTAAGTTGCAGAGGCCCCCCCCCCGGCCCCTCGGTCCAAAACAGTCCAGTGGCACCTTTAAGATCAAGTTTGATTCAGGTACAAGCTCTCCCTCCTTTGCGAGGACAGATCTGCACGTTCTCTCCCCCCCCCCAATAGCTAGCAATCCAAAACAGTCCAGTGGAGCCTGAGCGGTGGGTGTTGGCTTCTGACACACTTCCGGTGATGTCAGGGTGTGTGGCATATGCAAATAAGTTATGCTAATGAGTTATGCTAATGAGCTTCTGCACCTCTTTTTCTATGAAATGACCCCTGGATAGAAATATTCCTTCCCTCTAGAGGAAGGCAACAGCAAACTACCTCTGCTCATCACTTGCCTTGGTCCTGGGGTTGCCATAAGTCAGTTGCAACTTGACAGCACACAATTATTGTATTTATAGTTCTGGCTTACTCTTCTAGTTATCCAGTGCTATTTTCTTTGCTGACATCATTATGCCACCCACCTGCTCTCTTATGATGGCTCATACCCTGTGGCTCTGACTGTGAGGTGCTAGTGGGTGGGTTGGATTTGATCCATTTTCAGTCCCTTCCAATCATGATTCTGTGGATTCACCATATCATCTATGTGTGATCAGCTGCAAACTCATCAGTAACTCTTTCCAATGATATATTTTCCCTTATCGATCACAGGACAGTTTGAGCCCAGTTGGGAAAATATGATAAATGGCCACCAGTTTCTGTCTTTAGACCAAATGCAACTCCATCCTCTATGTGCTATCTTGTTTGGAGCGGCAAGAAAACAGGGTTTTGATCATAATCCCCCCCCCCTTTTCTCTCTCTCTTTCTTTCCAGGGTGAATTGCTGAGTCCATGTCGGTGTGATGGGTCAGTGAAATGTACACACCAGTCCTGTCTGATCAAATGGATCAGTGAGAGGGGATGCTGGAGCTGTGAGCTGTGTTATTACAAGTATCACGTCATTGCCATAAGCACAAAGAACCCGCTGCAGGTAAAGGTACTAGAGATTATTACAAAGTCCTTTCTTCTGTTGTTTGGGCATATGCTTATGCCTTCTGTCCTCCATTGTTGGATGTGTGTGCAGCTTTCCATTGTTTTGTGCACTGCACAGTGAATTGCAGAACTGTAGCCTTCCTCCATGAATGGAAAAGGCCTAGGAGGAAATTGTGGAAGAGACTCAGTAGAAGGGAATGCCTGGACAACATTTAATACTTCCCTGCAGATGTTCACACATGCACTAGTGTCATGAGGCTAACACAAAGTTGGGAACTGAATTGTAGCTTAGTTTATTTTATTATTTTATTTATTTAAAACATTTTAATGCTGCCTTTCCACCCTATCAGGGTCTCCAAAGTGGTGCACATAAAAACATTAAAACACTCTAAAAATTAAAAACAGCATTTAAAATTATAGAATAATTCAACAGAAACACATAAACAAAACAATACCAGAACCAGGGAGAAGGGCCAATAACAGTTATTGGGGGAATGCCAAACTAAACAAAAAAGTCTTCACCCACTGGTGGAAGACACCAATAGAGGGAGACAGATGAACATCTTGGGGGAGGGAGTTCCAAAGTTTGGTGCTACAACTGAGAAAGCATAACTTAAGCAGGGCCCCCAAAGATGACCAGAAGTTAGGTTCATATGAGAGAAGGTGGTCCTTAAAGTATGTTGGTCCAGGGCCATACAGGGTTTTAAAGGTCAATATAGCACCTTTAATTGAGCCTGGAATCAAATTGGAAGTCAGTGTAGACAGAACAAGACTGCGGTGATATGGTCCCTATGTCCCACTCCAGTCAGCACTCTGGCTGCAGCATTCTGTGCCAACTGCAGTTTCTATACAATCTTCAAGGGCATCCCCACATACAGCACATTGTAGTAATCTAATCTAGATGTTACCAGGGCATTCATCGCAGTGACAAGATATTTTCTGCCCAGGAAGGGTCTCAGCTGGCTCACCAGCTGAAGCTGCTGAAAGACAACCCCGGCCACTGCTGCTACCAGTTTATCTAACAGGAAGCCTGAGTCCAGGAGCACCCCCAAGGAGCACCCCCAAATGGCCTCCAAGCACCTGTTTACAGTTTCCACAGCCTCCCAGGTAATGTGAAATAGAGCTGAGTGTCATCTGGATGTTGGTGGCAATTCAGCCTAAATCTCTGGATGACCTCTCACAGCACCTTTACATAGATGTTGAAAAGTATGGGTGACAAGATGCAACCTTGGGAACCCCAGAGGCCAGAGGCCAAGGTGCAGAGCAGCAGTTAGGACTGAAACCAGGGCCGGCTCACCCACTAGGCGAACTAGGTGTTCGCCTAGAGCGCCGGGCCCTGGATGGGGCACCAAGCTGTGCCTCCCCCCTCCTCCCCCCCTTTGAGGGCAGCGGGGGGAAGAGGCGGTGGTGGCGGCAGCAAAAGGGTGGCTGGCTCCAGAGGTCTCCAGGTCTCCAGGTCTCCAGGCCCCACTGGGAGGTTGGCATCTGCGCCACAAGGCAGCCTCGCCTAGGATGCAGAAACACCTCGAGCCGGCCCTGACTGAAACTACAACAGAACTGTGCCTTCCATTCCCGATCCTGAAAGGCAATCCAGAAGAATACCATAATCGACAATATCAAAAACTGCCAGGAGGTCCAGGAGAAATAACAAGGTCACACTCCCCTTGTCCATCTCCCAGAGCATGTCATCCACCAGGGCAACCATGGCCATTTGAGTCCCATAACCAGGCCTGAAACCAGATTAGAATGGATACAAACAATCCATGTCATTCAGGTATCCTTGGTGGCCAGCCACCACCCATTCAATCATCTCGCAGAAGAATGGTACTTTTGAGACTGGATGGTAGTCAGTCAACTCTCCTGGGTTCAGAGTAGGTTTCTTTAGAAGTGGACACACTACTTCCTGCTTCAAGGCAGGAGCAACCACCCCCTTTCTCAGGGAGGCATTTACTGTCTCTTGGACCCAGTTGACCAGCCCCCCGCCCCCCACAGAAGATTTAAGCAGCCAGGAAGGGCAAAGATTGTACAAACAGGTGATAGAAGAAGAAGAAGAAGAAGAAAAAGAGAAGAGATTGGATTTATACCCCACCCTTCACTTGGAGTCTCAGAGCGGCTTACAACCTCCTTTCCCTTCCCCTCCCCACAACAGACACCCTGTGAGGTGGGTGGGGCTGAGAGAACTCTGACACAAACTGCTCTTTTTCAAGGACAGCTGTGCCAGAGCTTGTGACTGACCCAAGGTCACATCAGCAGGTGCAAGTGGAGGAGTGGGGAATCAAACCCGGTTCTCCCAGATTAGAGTCTACGCACTTAACCACTACACCAAACTGGCTCTTTGGTTCAGACTTGCAAGAATCCTGTCCACATTCTCAGACTACGCAAGCTGAAAGGTATCCCACACAACTGAACAAATCAGTGCCCTGGGACCATCACATCCTGTTGCTGCTAATGTAGAGTCCAAGTTGGAATGGATGCAAAAGATTCTATCCTCGAACTGAGTGCTGTACAGCAGTCTACCTCCTCCTCTTGGCCAGAACACAATAGGCCCCTGACCACCAGGAAGAGTTCTGCAGGTCTCCACTGTACAGAGGCAGTGGTAATGGAGAAATACTGTTTCTTTGCTGCCATCACCACCATGGAATAGGCTCTTAAAATGAGCTCCAGCCTGTGCCTTATTGGATTTGTCCCAAGTCTTTCACCACTGTCGCTGTAGCCATCTCCTCTGTCTTTGCATCATCTGCAGCCCTTCATTAAAACTAGGGTCTGCCTGGGATCTTAGACCTGGGAGAGGGCACCTAAGTGCAATTGTGTCAGTTGCACAGATCATTTCCCCATTCCAGAGGTCATCCAGGGCATCAACAAGAGTACCAGTCACATC